CCCAATAAGTTTACATAGTTTAATGTGTTAGTAGTTTCTTTCTTCCCATCTTTTCCTATATTTTTGCTGTTTTTATTCGTGATTGGATTGATTAACACAAGATGAAGTAGAATATAGTGAATTTGAAATTTCAACCTTTCGGATGAACTTGACTAAAATGTTATGTTTCTGTTAGTGCAAAATTCAACAAGAAATTTTTTCATACAGAAGCAAGTTTTTAGTGAGTGGAAATGCAAAATATATCTTAACAATATAACGAACCATCCCAAGAAGAGAATATAAACTCTCATTCCATTCAGTCATTTCAAAATAAAATAAAATATATAGACTGTAGATATGGCAATTAATAAAAGTGGCATGTTCTATTCTAACGCTAGATAATTAATAACAGTAGCACTTTTACATTTACGAATTTAACTGCAACAGATATGCTTGAATTATTTTCTGATATAGGCCATCATTCAAAAATGTAAGGCCCGGAATGGCCAAATGGTTAGGGCGCTCGACTCGCAAAGTAACGGTTAATCCTACTGTGCGTTGGTTAAAGAGTAGTCCAAGAGTTGGTGGTGGGTGGTGATGACTATCTGCCTTCACTATAGTCTTACACTGCTAAATTAGAGACGGCTAGCGCAGATAGCCCTCGTGTAGCTTTGTGCGAAATTCATAACAAACCAAACCAATCTAAAATGTAACTGAGTCTTTTATTTTATTGCACATTTCTGGTATTAATGATCCACAAATCCCTTTGGTTTGTTGCAGATTGTATTAGTTAAAGATTTGAACTTTTTATTAGGACTAACTTTCAGAAAATGTTATTTCTTCATTTCAAGTTTAATTTTCAGTTTCTTGTATTCTAAAAATATTGTTATTATTTTGTTTCAATCATACATGCGTAGAATTAATCTCTTTAATTAATAACAAATAATTACTCAGTATTTTAACAAAATTAAATTATTCATTGCATTTTTAGAAAATTAATTTTTTTACGTGTAAGTATGAAAGAATGACATTTTTTTTGTTTTTTAGAATTAGTATGTGCGTTGTTCTTTCTCTGAATCTGAAAATGTAACTCACCTGAAGAGATTTTTTAAACAATTAAAGAAAAACAACTCCTGCAAAGTTTTACACAATATTTTTGGCTATAGCCAAGCATTCTAAAGGCCGATGGAGCGCTTTATATTTTGCCATTAGAGTATTTGTAATCATGCAGAAATGTAGTTAATTTTGTAAACGAACATAACTTTCAACAAATCTTGTTGTTCGTGTATGATTTTAATTAAGTTCAGCTAAAATGAAAACCATTTTGATAGAGTGTTGTTGTATTTTATCATTTACAGAAGACACGTTGGAGGACTACAGTAATAACTTAGCTCGGTTTCTTTTCTACACCAGAAAGTAAGTAGAAAATTCCCGAATTCTTATCTGAAATAAAAAGAGTATCTTCTCTAGGTTCTAAGTTTTGTACATTTTCAGTAGCAATTTTTTCATACATTCAACAATTCTTGTTTAAAGTAGTTGTGACCTAATGGTTAAAGAGCCGGAGTACGGATCTTCGAGTCTATTGTTACAAAATTAGAGACAGCTAGCGCAGATAGCCCTTGAGTAGCTTTGCGCGAAGATACGAAAACAAACGTTATTGAAGTTATTAAAATCGATTATTACTATTCTGTAGTTGGGATAGAAATTGTAGACCTCGGAGCTTATATTTCTTATGTTATGTTATTTTATTTTGAGATAAATTTACAGAGTTTTCCTAGAAATATTTGTGAAATATGTTAATGGTAGGAAAAACGTTTGAAATAAAGTTAATGTCCCCTAATTAAAGTCTTGAACTTTATTTGTTACTTTTTTTTATAAAACCATGCACGCTGACCTATATTGAAAAGGTTCGATCAAAAAGAAACATAAAAAAACAATGATGTAGTTAGAAGGAAGTAAATATTTCTTCTCCTTTGATTCTTTACCTTCTAGAAGGTTTCCCAGCAGATCAGCGGTAAGTTTCTCTAAAATCCAAAGTTTCATTCCCCGTTGTAGGCAGAAGCAGATACCACATTATGTAGCAGATACCAAATTATGTAGCCTTGAGCTTTTAGTTTAGTTTGTTTGTTTGTAATTAAGCACAAAGCTACACAATGGACTATCTGTGATCTGCCCACCACGGGTATCGAAACCCTGTTTTTAGCGTTCTAAGCCCGCAGACATACCAACAACAATACCAAGCCTACAGAAGATTTCAGTAAGTCAGCAATGCACTCTAAGAAAATACAAATATGATTGGTTATTATTCCAACAATACAATTCTTGGGGGAAGAGGCTTTCTACTCAAATATGCAGACGGCAAAGACAAAGGGAATTCAGATTTACTGCCTAATTTCAGATACAACGTTGAAGTGCAGTATACCAAAATACAACACTGCATATGTCACCACCTATTTCAAATAACATTTATAGAAGAAAAAGCTCCCTGACTCATATCCATTTATACAAGTATCTGAAACATCCCTTGAGAGGAGTAGAATACATGTCCAAAGTGATATGAGTCTAGTCCTTGGCATTCACAAGCTTTATCCAAGTAAAAGGATTAGCAGACCTTCAAGTTTTGACATTCTTGTTAACATGTAGAATATCTGCAAAATTTTTTTTAAAAACTTGAGTAAATATATTTGACTAAATTCATATTTCACCTAGTTGTAGAAGGGTAAAATTCATGACTGTTTCAATCATTACATAACTTGATTGTTCTAATATCACTTTGAAAACATATACAATTATCAAAGTTATTAAACAAATTAAAGAAACCAGGTGACCCAAGTGCTTTCAAAACGTTTTTTGTAATGTCGTAGAATTATTTTATGCTACATTTTCAATATTTTAAATTAAATGTTTCTTAGAGAGCGCATAACATTAAGATCGACAAAGTTCGTGAAAGTTAAGAATCGAGAAGTTTCGTCAATCACAGTTTGGAGTCTTTTTTTGGATTTAATTTAATATTCCCAATATATGGTGCTATTGTTCGTGTTTTTTCATCTTTAATATGTAGAGACAGGGTAACAATATAAATATGAACAGTGAGTTAGGCATAACATCATTGTTTCTATTCAAACGTTGTTTGTTAATTTAACCGTACATTAGTTTTGGAATTTTGTTCAAAAAGATTGTTTATGAAATTAGGCTTACAATTAACGTGCCTCTAGCAAACAGTTGGAGAGTAGTATTATTCTCTGTGACGGTTCATTTTACTGTGTGTTTCTGGAGTATAATGTATTTTATAGTATATTTATACAGAAGAGTAACAATTCTATTTCATACCTCAGACGTGGCTGTGTTCGTAGAGGGGGAAGCTGTGACCACAGACCTAACGAGTGTTGCTACAACTCATCGTGCCGTTGCAATCTGTGGGGGACAAACTGTCGGTGCTCCAGGATGGGTCTTTTCCAGAGATGGGGAAAATAAAAACTGAAAGAAAAAAATACACACGAAGAAACAACCAAAATGGCGTCTTATGAATTTGAAACATTCAGAATGTTTTACATATTTTAACTCAGATACTACTGCTACTTGAGAAGTCGAAGAAACGATCTATATATACATATATTGTAGTTGAGGTTTCTAGAAATCTTAATATTTCCTTTACTTAATTATAATTGCACTAGTTCCAATTGATGTTTCTTTGCAGCATCCGATCTAAAAATAAAATGTTCGCATATTTTCAAAACTAATAATTTGTATTCACAAATATTTAAAGGGTTTGTGCTGACACTGGAAAATAAGCAAAAGGTTACACCGCCATTCTTTTTACCCTGTTCATTAATACTTAAACTCAATAATAATTTAAAAAGACGTATTTGCGTCGAAACTTCATTAATTTGCTCTTGAAAGTATACTCGTCATAAATTAATATGATTATTGTAAGGTATGAAAATAAATTATTTATATCCACCTATGAACTCTTATATTTATTGTGAACTGAAAAGCGTATTAATGAAATTCTATATAAATATATTTCTTTATCAAACTATACTTTGACATTGAGTGAAGAATAAACACTGAAAACATTTTTATTTACAACATAATTAATCATATTAACCATTAATTTCCTGTCTGTTCAAAGCTAAAGGATTCATTTTTACCTTCTAATCTCTAGGTTATCGCTATTTATATTCCCAAAAAAATTTTCTTTTAGAGCCCATAGCAGTGAAATTGTTTGTTTTCTACAAAGTTATTTTCTGTCACTATCATTGGAAGAATTTGTTAGTGTAGCAGCCCACCCCACATGACTGTTAACGTAACCAAATGGTACACGTTTGGCACCATGTGTTAAAATGAAGCCTTGGATATGATTATACAACTTAATGATACCATCTCAGAAAATGTATGTTAGCTAAGAAATTAACAATTGATTATATCCACCTGCGATACGACCGATTTATATAGAGAAGGCTCGATTTGTAAAATCCTAAACCTCCAATATGTCAGTGTGTGTGTTATACTTTTGCAAAACAACATTCAAATATCCATTAACCAAATTATTTAAACATCCATTTATCTAAAATTGACTTAGTTTGGTGAATAGAACAGCATAAAATAGTACTTAAACTGCGGTTTAGGTATATATATAAATAATTACACAATTATATTTATCAAACAGACAGAAAACCATATGCCTTGGACTGATTTACGTTCCTTATCGATGATTTTAATTCTATTCATTGCAGCATTTTTTTATTTTTATTTTTTGTATGTGAGGTACAACTGCAGTATTTCAAGAAAGCTGAAACTTACGTGCAAATATTAATGACTAATTTTCTTAGTTAAGCTTCCACATTGACGCAAATTGAATAGTACTTTTTTAAATACAGATACCTCAATTTTATTGCAATCATCCATAGTTTCCATTTAGTTACATGTCATTTTGTTAACTGTTTGCGATGAAATATTTCGCCACAAAGAAAACAATTCTTTTTTCAGTGAAATGGAAATTAATCTGTAGCATTTCTGATCAGAAAAGCCTAAATTACTCACACAAGCACCATCACTACTTTTATCACCTATACCACCACTACACTACATGTAAAATATTTTTTTAAGTTTTTCTACCACCTTTTTTTTTTTTTAGAATACAGCAAGAAGTTATACAGTTTCGGTGAAAGCAAAAAAAGCACCTTTACCATCTAGGATTTAACTTTCATGCTCCAATAACTAGTTAGGCCCATCATCAAGTCTTTCTTTCCTTGCCGAAAATAAAGTAGTCATTTTGGACACAGGAGTAACAGCAAGAGATCTGAAAAAGAAAAGTATATTTCCAGTGAATGCACACATTCTTGTCACCTCTTCTCGGAGAGACCCGTGTCAAGTTATACACCGGCAGCTAGCATATTAACACCTGTAAAAAAATTACGACCTGTGGTGAGGATGAAGTTATCAATGAGTAAGCCAGCACGTCAAACCGACTTTACTATGCACCACTTTAGTTACGAAAACCCCAGGCTACTTGTGCATACATTAAACAGTTTGCTAGTACGTTATTGTCATGCATCTTTAGTGTTTACAAGTATAGATCTAAAAGTAAGATTTCATTTGTTACATAACATTTCATTCTGTATATTTTGCGTGACAGTAGGGGAGTAAATAATGAGAGTGAAGTGGGAATAAAAAACATATTTGGAATAAGTAAATTGAATATTTTACAACACACAAAATGATATATTTAAAATTAAATGATACTAATCAGATTCATAGTTTTGTCTCAAGATGTATATTTAATTGTTTACTTGATATTTCCAGTTATTATCAAAAATACACGATTATCCATATGCAACTTAAGAAATAAAATCTTGTCATAAATGTTCTTTTAACCTGTGTATGCAAAACGCTTATTTATCCTATGATATATCTCAACAACCATAATTCCCTAAAGAGTATGATTATTGGTATAGTGGATAAATATAAGACTATCTATATTTTACAGAATTGATCCTATACTAATTTAACGATGATTAAAGGCTCAACACCTGAAATCGCTAGTTGCTATACAGTTGCTATTCATAATTATTAGACCCTGACGGTTGTTTCGACATATTACAACGTATTCTGTACTGTCGGGTTGGGTTGATAAAAAATATGCAACTTTTTGAATCGCTGTTGTTCCAAGCCTTTCAGTTACATGGGTTCGGTAAGTAGGTTTTGTTTGTTCTAGGTGTTGTGGTTTCTCTCATAAGAAGAGCTTTTCTAGGATAAGTACACTTTCTAAAACATTCTGACCGATATCCTGGTTTTGAAGGTGCGCTAGTACTGTAACAGACTTTATATACTCCATTATAACTCCCCCATAGCTGAAAGGGCGAGCATGTTTGGTGTGACGGGGATTCGAACTCGCGACCAGCAGATTGCGAGTCGAGCGCCCTAACCACCTGGCCATGCCGGGCCCAGACGCAAGAAAACTGTTTCAAATTAACGTAAGCTAATAAGATAATTATATTATTATCGAATAATTTTTCCCAAATATTGTTTACTATAATGATTACTGCCCTCTGGTATTAGTAACAATTATGACTATTATTAGAAAGATTAGATTAGATTGAAACGTCCGAATCGGACTTACAACGCTAGAATCCGGGTTTCGATATCCGTGGTGGGCAGAGGACAGATAGCCCATTGTGTAGCTTTGTGTTTAATTACCAACAAACAAATAAACAAGCTTCGTGCTTATCTATAAACAGAAAGAGAATACTACAATGGAATAAACTAGCACATGTTAGTTCATATTTTCACTTCAAGAAAGTTCTACTGTAACCAAAAACGCTAGAGACTATAAAGATGATCATCTTATGTTATCAGCACCCTATAGAATTACTACGAGTGATTTTCACTCTCGTAGAGCGAAATTGCCTGGTATATATATCTGGGCGAAGCGCGGCTCTGGGGTTAGTGTGCCGAACTGTGTAGTTGAGATTCCATGGCTTGCGCCCGGTCACGTCAAAAATAAATAAAATTCGCGCTCGGCACTTTGGGTGGTTATAAGAGTGCCGATCCAATTCTAGTATTCGGTCTGTCAAGAGTAGCGCAAAGAGTGGGTGATGCTTTCTCACTCTAGCCTATCGCTTCAAAATTAGGGACGGCTAGCGCAGATAACCCTCGTGTAGTTTTGCGAGAAATCCAGCAAAAACAAACAAAACTATATATCTTATGATGTTAGAAAAACACGTAGGTTCAAGAAGTCTTGATAGAAATGAATAAAAACCCTATAACCCGAGCGCTTTCGAAAGGTGGACCTTTCTTCTTCAGGGTCAAAACCATTCCCAGTTTACGGTTTTTATTCATATATATCTCATGATATATTCTTCTAGGCGATGTGACTACGGCTCCACAAAAATAGTAAGTAACTTCTAATATACGAGCAATATTTTAACTTGAGTCGAAACCTCCATTTCCTGGTTATTTTAGCATGTACTTCTACTATTCCTGAAAAATAATGACCCACTCTTCAAATGTTTTTGATTTTTTTTTTGTAGCTATGACCATGAAGTATTGGTATGTTTAAGTTTCAAGGGGATTGTGGTTTTGAATTATAAATTGAACTGGTATATTGAAACGCTAGTAACCAGTGAAAGCAAAAATACAGGAAACAAATTCAGATGAAGCAAAATTAGCTATTAAGCAAAGTCAAAACCGAGTATAAAACGAAACTGGCACGTTGGCTAACTAAAGCTTTAGATGTTGTTGAAAACATGCTCCTGTAGCTCGTTAGGCTGTCCTCTATAAATAAGGAAACAGTCTGCTTCCAGTTATATAAAATAGGCAAGAGAGAAAAGAATTAAAAAATCACAGTCACAACACTTCGATTTGTTTCATTCATTCTGCAATTACAAAAGCACTATATCACAAGAGATTTCTAAGAATAAAGCACACCCCTCCCGTCTAATATGCAATTGAAACACTTGACCATGCTAGACGATTCTTGCCCAACTTCTGTGTAACATTCTGAATCCCTCCTATGATAACGCTCTTAGTGTTGTTCAATTGTAGATAATTTATAATGAATTATATATACTAAAGTATATGCATATAGGAAAGGGCTAATGGTGCCCACGTACGATATATTTGTTTCTAAACGAGCTCATAATGAGAACTGCTTAATACGCGTCGCTGCTACAGATATAAGAAAACGTATTAGAAAATATATTTTATTCTGTGTGTCGTTAAAACAGTGGATGCCAAGTCATTGCTACAGGTATACGAACACTTATTAAAAGATATTAGATTTTTATATTACGTGTCGTTAAAACAGTGGATGACAACTCATTGCCACAGGTATACGAACACTTATTAAAATATATTACATTTTTATAGTAGGTATCGTTAAAATAGTAGATGGCAAATGACTTCACGTCTTAGCTTTAATTATATTTCATTTGTTATATTTTACTTAAATTGGGTAAGTTTATAT